CTCTCTCTCTCTCTCTCTCTCTCTCTCTCTCTCTCTCTCTCTCTCTCTCTCCTTCTTTCCCCCTCACAAACACAAACATGCGGATTGTACACGCAGTGCATACACTTTACTCTCTAACCGCCCCCTCCTCTCTTTCTCTCTCTACAACTTCTGTGTCTGTCTCTATCTCTCTCTGAGAGAGAGAGAGAGAGAGAGAGAGAGAGAGAGAGAGAGAGAGAGAGAGAGAAGAGAGAGAGAGAGAGAGAGAGAGAGATGTCATAACAAAACAACAATAAAAACAGATTTGCAAGTGGTCCGGGAGTTTAGACCAAAATCCGTTCGTTTCATATCCCTCTGTGACATATTATTTTGCCCTTTGCTCTCTTATAAAACTCCATAGAACTGATTTAGGCTGCTATCATTATTGCTTTGATCTTGTTCTCAATGACGATGTGATATATATATATATATATATATATATCAGACACACACACACTCACACGCGCATATATATGTATAAATAATTATTTTAATTGCCTCCTGCATCTTTATCCCTGGGCATATCAACTGTTGGCTTAAGCAGCAGATGAGGTGGAATAATAATATTATAATGATATGTTCAATGGCTCCGACTGTTGCTTATTTAACTCGCATAAATGATGGTGATCATATTATTATTATTATTATTATTATTATTATTATTATTATTATTATTGTTATTATTATTATTATGATGCCTATTATTATGCCTATTATCATTATTATTATTATTATTATTATTTATTTATTTAAAAAAATTCCCCCCCCCCTTGTTACTCTGTATCTTGCAAGTCATCATATGCATGTATTTCTGTCTGTTGGTATTTGCTCTCTCTTTTTGTTATGCTGATTCAGTTTATTGAGTCTATTTGTTGATGTGTCACTGTCTGTCTGTCTGTCTGTCTGTCTGTCTGTCTGTCTGTCTGTCTGTCTGTCTGTCTTTTTCTGCTTGTGGTTGGAGGGCACCACTAATAGTGGCAGGTCCTACTTCTTTACTTGCCTTCTATTGTTTGTATCTATATTTTCTTCCCTGCACTATATGACCGTTACTGTGTTGATTTGCTCTTTTTTACTTCCACTCAAAACTATTTATCCGTCTTACCTTTACCCCGCTCGAAATGGCTATTATTGTGTCAATATAGTTTTATAGTTTTCTCTTTACTCAAAAATGGTCTCCTTTCACCTCCTTTCCTGCTCTCTAGCAATGTTCTGTTGTCTGCTTTCATTTCCACTTTCTGCCCCCACCCCCTCACCTCCTTTGCCCCCTCCTCTGGGCTCCTGACTCTTTCTGCAGCCTTTCTATTGCTACTCCTTGGCTCCTCCTTACTGCTGTTTTTCTGCCAAATCCCTGATCTTCTGGTAGGAAAGATCTACACCTAACCTTCTCAGATAAGGGTGAAGGCAAGTTGCGCACGTTAAAGATCCCTTGGTGGTCTAAAATCGATAAGAGTAGGCTTCGGCCGCCACCCGGGCAAAATTCAAAATTTCCTACCTACTGAAACTGAAAATATTAGGTGTGTCCCGCGCGCTCATATGACCTTATGTAGTTGCGAGCGCCCTAAAACACTTACCCAAAACAAAAAAACATTAAAAAATGGTTTTTCTCCTCCTCAGAGTAATTCCCAGGGCGCTTGGTTGCACCTTCCTTGTGCTCATCACAGCCTGTGTGGCCACCAACTTTGCCTTCTTTGTCGTTCTCTCCAAGCAAGAAGCTTTCAAGTCGGATGCAATAGCTGTGGTACGTGCCTGCCACCGATCCAGTATTGTTGTTGTTGTGTGTTTGTGTGTGTGTGTGTGTGTGTGTGTGTGTGTGTGTGTGTGTGTGTGCGTGCGTGCGTGCGTGCGTGGGTGCGTGCGTGCGTGCGTGCGTGCGTGCGTGCGTGTGTGTGGTAGCCTATCCGTTCAAAGCGTTTGGAGCCCCGAAGAACTAAAATATTGTTTTGACAAGTGAACACTTTCCCCAACTAAAATATTGTTTTGACAAGTGAACACTTTCCCCAAAAATGTCACCCAGCCGTGGTTTTTGATACTGACAGCTTATATCTATTCACTGAAGAGGAAAATAAAACAACATACTTCCCAGACACTCTGTTGACATTTCGACCACTGAGCCATGTCTCCATACCTCGGAATGTTATGTTGTTGTGAGCCACCAAATCAGCAGTTACAGTTGAACCTGCTTTTACTCTTTATCTCTGTGGGGGTGAACCCACTATATGCCCTATTTTGGTACAAAATCTGAAATTGACACATATGTCACTAAACTGGTCATTGAAACCTATTTCGATAGTTCTTCATCTAAGACTAATGAATGATCTCCCAGTAAAACTGTTTTCGTCAATTGCCAAAAAGTAATTTGAAGTTAAAGTCGTCGTAAAGGAGTGAACCCGAGCTGCTGCCAGCGGCTCACCACCCTGCACAGCGGTTCCGACCGCGAGCTGCTGGGAGCGGCTTGCCGGCGATAAAGAGTTCAGGGCCACTCATCAAATATGACAAATCGTCGCCTCAGAACTATTTTGTCCAACGAAGTATAGACCCGGTAACCGGGAACAAATTAAAGTCACAAAGTATACAACCCGGTAGGGGAACTCTTTTGTGATTTCGGAAAGTTTCAGCGCCCAGACCCGGTAGTGCGCGCGTGTGTCTGTGTGTGTGTGTGTGTGTGTGTGTGTGTGTGTGTGTGTGTGTGTGTGTGTGTGTGTGAGAGAGAGAGAGAGAGAGAGAGAGAGAGAGAGAGAGAGAGAGAGAGAGAG